AAAGACCTTTGGATTTATATCTCTGTGTCCTGCGTGTGATTCCACATCCCACTACACTCCACTCTTGACATGTAATTTTCATCATAGGTACACGTCAACTATGACAGACAAATTGAGAGAAAAAAAATCCAGAAAATCACATTGTAGGATTTTTTATGAATTTATTTGCAAATTATGGTGGAAAATAAGTATTTGGTCACCTACAAACAAGCAAGATTTCTGGCTCTCACAGACCTGTAACTTCTTCTTTAAGAGGCTCCTCTGTCCTACACTCGTTACCTGTATTAATGGCACCTGTTTGAACTTGTTATCAGTATAAAAGATACCTGTCCACAACCTCAAACAGTCACACTCCAAACTCCACTATGGCCAAGACCAAAGAGCTGTCAAAGGACACCAGAAACAAAATTGTAGACCTGCACCAGGCTGGGAAGACTGAATCTGCAATAGGTAAGCAGCTTGGTTTGAAGAAATCAACTGTGGGAGCAATTATTAGGAAATGGAAGACATACAAGACCACTGATAATCTCCCTCGATCTGGGGCTCCACGCAAGATCTCACCCCGTGGGGTCAAAATGATCACAAGAACGGTGAGCAAAAATCCCAGAACCACACGGGGGGACCTAGTGAATGACCTGCAGAGAGCTGGGACCAAAGTAACAAAGCCTACCATCAGTAACACACTACGCCGCCAGGGACTCAAATCCTGCAGTGCCAGATGTGTCCCCCTGCTTAAGCCAGTACATGTCCAGGCCCGTCTGAAGTTTTCTAGAGTGCATTTGGATGATCCAGAAGAGGATTGGGAGAATGCCATATGGTCAGATGAAACCAAAATAGAACTTTTTGGTAAAAACTCAACTCGTCGTGTTTGGAGGACAAAGAATGCTGAGTTGCATCCAAAGAACACCATACCTACTGTGAAGCATGGGGGTGGAAACATCATGCTTTGGGGCTGTTTTTCTGCAAAGGGACCAGGACGACTGATCCGTGTAAAGGAAAGAATGAATGGGGCCATGTATCGTGAGATTTTGAGTGAAAACCTCCTTCCATCAGCAAGGGCATTGAAGATGAAACGTGGCTGGGTCTTTCAGCATGACAATGATCCCAAACACACCGCCCGGGCAACGAAGGAGTGGCTTCGTAAGAAGCATTTCAAGGTCCTGGAGTGGCCTAGCCAGTCTCCAGATCTCAACCCCATAGAAAATCTTTGGAGGGAGTTGAAAGTCCGTGTTGCCCAGCGACAGCCCCAAAACATCACTGCTCTAGAGGAGATCTGCATGGAGGAATGGGCCAAAATACCAGCAACAGTGTGTGAAAACCTTGTGAAGACTTACAGAAAACGTTTGACCTGTGTCATTGCCAACAAAGGGTATATAATAAAGTATTGAGAAACTTTTGTTATTGACCAAATACTTATTTTCCACCATAATTTGCAAATAAATTCATTAAAAATCCTACAATGTGATTTTATGGAGAAAAAAAATCTCATTTTGTCTGTCATAGTTGACGTGTACCTATGATGAAAATTACAGGCCTCTCATCTTTTTAAGTGGGAGAACTTGCACAATTGGTGGCTGACTAAATACTTTTTTCCCCCACTGTATATATACACACACTGAAACAAACGTCTGTAGGCAAAGCTTGTACAAGCATGCTCTGTGTAGTCTCTCTCTGTGCAGGTCTAAAACGCACAGTACAGTGGGGGAGGGGGGCACTCAGGAGTTGTCCGTCTCCCGCTCACTGAGCTAGCAAGCCAGTTAGCTACAAGCCAGTTAGCCAGCTGGTGTTGTTCTCAAACCAACAAAAACACATCCTTTTTCTAGTACAAACACACACATTACAATATTTAATGTATCACCAATGACTCACCGCTATTGAAGTACATTTTTGACTCACCATCTCTGTCAACTCCGAAGTTGCAAAAGTTTAGTAACAAACTGGCTAGGTTCGGAGACGGCGCTTGTGACTGTTGCTAGCTAGCTGGCCATCTTGCTCAATATCTTGGCAGGCTACAACTGTTTTACTAAATTTTAGCTAGCTAAATAAACTATAAAATATGTATGTACTGATTCCATACCAGTATTCGCCTAGCCATAACTACAAATTGGTATTTGATATTCATGTTGCTCCTTCAAACGCGCTAGCAAAAAAAAGTAATTGTTCAGTTCATCTCCTTCTCTTATGAGCTGACTTGAGCGCATGCGCCCCCACATCAGACCAGTGGGCGGCCCCAGTTGAGCTGTTACGAAAGGTTATAACCACTCCCCAATGAATAGGCTGGATTCCAGAAATGTTATTGCCCTGTTCTCGATCAGGATTACAACACATTTATAAAACACAGACACAGTATTTTAATTGTATGGGTCAACTGTTTAGGCCAGGCAGTCAGCTTTTTATGTGCATTCTGTCTTCAACTAGGCCTAACTGTATTGTTCAGTAAAAAAGCCGAAAACACATAGCCTACCTCTTGAGTTTTTGTTCACTTGTAGCACTGAACAAACATATGAACGAAACATGCAACAATTTCAAAGGTTTTACTAAGTTACAGTTCATATAAGGTAATCAGTCAATTGAAATAAATTCATTAGGCCCTAATCTATGGATTTCACATGACTGGGAATACAGATTATGCATCTGTTGGTCACAGATACCTTGAAAAAAAAGGTAGGGGCGAGGATCAGAAAAGTATCTGGTGTGACCACCATTTGCCTCATGCAGCGCAACACATCTCCTTGCCTCATGCAGCGGGACACGTCTCCTTCGTATAGAGTTGATCAGGCTGTTGATTGTGGCCTGTGGAATGTTGTCCCACTCCTCTTCGATGGCTGTGCGAAGTTGCTGGATATTGGCAGGAACTGGAACACGCTGTCGTACATGTCGATCCAGAGCATCCCAAACATGCTCAATGGGTGACATGTCTGGTGAGTATGCAGGCCAGGAATTGTGTACAGATGCTTGCGACATGGGGCCGTGCATTATAATGCTGAAACATGAGGTGATGACGGCGGAGGAATAGCACTACAATGGGCCTTAGGATCTTGTCAGGGTCTCTCTGTATATTCAAATTCCCATCGATAAAATGCAATTGTGTTTGTTGTCCGTAGCTTATGCCTGCCCATACCATAACCCCACCGCCACCATGGGGCACTCTGTTCACAACGTTGACATCAGCAAACAGCAAAAGGCCTTGTTTCTAACAAGACACGTGGTTCAATTCAGTCAAATATAATTTTGGCTGCATGTTCAGTCCAGTGCTGAAGGATATTAAGTAACACTTTTTAGCCCTGTTGTATTGAAATAAAGAATACAATCTGATTAAAACCAGCATTCCGTTATTGATTTGTGTGTGCGTGTGCATGTGATTGAATTACCTTTGTTTCAGATAAGATCAGTCTGGAGGGCATAGTGGTACAGAGAGCAGAGTGCAGACCTGCCGTCAGTGAAAACTACATGAAATTGAAGAAGTGAGTGAAAAAACAAAATTCAATACAACTAAATATAATGAGGCGACTGTAAAATAAAGCATCACTGATAGATGGGCTATTTCTCCTGGCTTCCTTTCTGAGTGAGTTTAGTAGATGTGGAGGAACAGTAAATAATATAATAATAATATGCCATTTAGCAGACACTTTTATCCAAAGCGACTTACAGTCATGTGTGCATACATTTTTACGTATGGGTGGTCCCGGGGATCGAACCCACTACCCTGGCTTTACAAGCGCCATGCTCTACCAATTGAGCTACAGAGGACCATATCTGTAGCTCAATTGGTAGAGCATAGTAGCCATATCTAAGTCCAGGAGAATATCTAATAATGGAATAAATGTCTTCCATTCTGTTTTATGGTAGCTGAGGTTGACAGGGATTGCTATAGTAACTGTTCTGTGTGTGCTATAGCAACTCTTCTCTCTCACTGTGTGTTTGAGAACATGCATGCTTGCCTGAGTGTCTGTATATGTACAGTAGTGACAGTCCTGTGCATTATACTAGTAGGCTATATTCACTATTCAACCATTGTACAACATAGTGTGTGCCATTGTGTCTTCATCCACTGCTCTACCCGCTGGGACGCTTCTCTCAATGAGACCCTATATCTTCATTAATTTCTCTGCTTTTCTCAGAGGTGTTTGTATGTGTGTTAATGTTATCATGTATATTCCTCTGTATCCCTCTCTCCACAGATTACAGATCGAGGTGTCTACCAAGCCCCAGCATCTGACCGAGCAGATACAGGGCTGTCACCAACAACTTCAAACCAGTATCCAACCATGTTGCTAATGTAACAACACTGCCATATCACATATTAAAAAGCAGTGTGTGTGTGTGTGTGTGTGTGTGTATCTGCCTGCTTGCATACTCCTGAAGCATGTCCAAGTGAACTATAGTTACCTGAGGCCTGAGTAGTCACACATAATAAATAGGACAGAATCCGAACACAGATCTATTCTATCTGGAGAAGCATCAACTGTTACCCAACCACTTCTGACATCTAGAGGACATTATCAACTACAACACATGGCTTTTGACACTAGAAGTAGACAGGTAGATGCTTATTCTAGTTTTCAGAATAAGGGTGCAGGCAGTAGCAGTGTGAACATATACTGTGAAGAGTCCAGCCCTAAACTTCCTCTCCTATTGACATATGTAAAGGAGATCCAGAGAGATGTAGGATGGTGTGGGGATCTTGCACTATGAACCATACCATGTGAAGCACTTGCCTTAAAGCAACACTGTACTTTGGATGTGTTCTTTGGATTTGATCCTTCACCTTACTTACAGAAGCTGCAATTGTGCAATAAAGATTTCATAAAATAATGGAACGACTGCTATTTGCATATTTTACATTTTCTTTCTCTAAATATGTAGGCCTACTTACTTGACAGAGCAAGCTTTAGATGAACTTTTCAACAAAAAGGCCAATGGCGCTAACGTCAAATATCTTTGATGTATCCAATGATTGTAGCATCTAAATTTACACAAAATAACACCACAACTGGAAATGTTTTACCCAGTGTCAGCTTTATTTTTCACAACTCAAATCAGGAAGTCCTAAGCTATCCCAATACTTTTAGTAAGGGTGTCACATCTAATGTAACTGTAAACCAAGCAAATGGAAGCCTGAGAGTTAATCAATCAACAATAAATAACCAATGAATTAATAACTAATCAATGGACTGAAAAATTGCCTTTGCAGAGATAAACAAATTATCCCAGCAAACTGTGTGTGACATATAGAATGTCCCAGGTAGAAATGTAACATATTAGAGCTGACACAATTCCTTATTCTGCATGACAGAGGCATATCTGCTCTACTCTATATATACATTTCTATCTGAATGTTCTGATTGTGTTTTCCTGAATATACCAGTTAACAGAACCTCTGCAATACTCAGAGTTTAACACAGTAATCAGTAAGATCAATTACAGAATTAACAGCAAAATACTGTCACAATACCCCTTCAGTCAACCCCATAGACATGACATGGTTTGGGCATCATAAAATACTTTAAAGTAATACTTCCATTCCACTCAGATATAATACAATAATTGTAACGAAATGCTTTCAATCCAAACATAATGCAGAGGAGTCGTCTGGTTGGTTGGTGGTCGTGGGTCAGGTGAGATGCAGCTGAGCAGCCAATAGAAACAAAGTTCTTAGTCCATAGTGTTACTGTGAAAGAGAGGAGAGAGGAAGGTCAGTGGTTATAACACAAGTAGACTGGTTCTAAGTTATATCATATAATTAGTATGTTATTAGACATGAGTAGACTGGGATAAAGGGACTCACGCATTTCTCGATCTCAAGGCCGTCTTTGAAGAATGTCATGAAGGGAGTGATGCCGTCCTCACGGAAGTCCAGCAGACCAACCATACCATCTGGGTTCATGGACTCCCCTGTAAAAAACTACAGAGGGAGGGGGAACAGAGAGAGCGAGTGTAAGGGGGGTGAAGAGAAATGAAGTCAGTGAAACTACATCCACACGGTTCTTCTCCAATCTAGGTCTTCTTTTTTTTGCAAGCTCATAACTGTTTAGTTTCATAGGCCTGGACCTCCAATCATCACAGCTTGGCTGTGCACAAGTAGTTGATGTGATGTGAGGAATGCATGTGTAGCTGAATGGGCTGTAGGCAGTAGTAGATGTATAGCTGTAACTAGTAGTTAGTTACCTGGTAGTTCTTCATGTTGCCCATGATCTTCTTGATCTCCTCCTGAGCTCCAGCCATGAAGGGCTTCACTCTGTGTGGGTTGTTCTCCTCCAGCTTAGCCTTGATCCTGCACACACACCCACACACACACCTTCAACAAATGCATTTAATGTCAAATAGGGACATTTTCATCTACATAAGTACAATCACAGTTTTGAGGGGCATACAGGGCGTCTGATGGGGCTAGCCTGGATGCATGCGCACACACCCGTCACTAACACACACTCACGCCTTCATGTAGTCCTTGATGTAGCCCTTGTATGAGTCCTTGGTGAAGGATGTCTCCTGCAGTTTGTGGTTGAGGACGATGTCCACTCCACTGACCGTGCTGGACTCGCAGCCGTCATCCTGCACCTCCGCCGACGCATTCGCCCCCAGCAGAGAGTCATCGATATTCTCTGTTCTACTAACCATCTGAAGGGAAAGACCGGAGGAAGATACAAAGGGGCAGGGTGGGAGGAGAAAGGAGAGTGAGTGCTGAGTCACTCAGTGGTTGGGTCCCATTACTGTCAAACACCTTATTCTACTTCAGGACCATCTGATAGGACTTGTCTATGTAAACTCAGGCATAGTGCAAAACTATGAATTGAGTTAAGACGATACCCAAGTCAATAACTGGCTCCAAATCCTAATACACCTCACCTCTCACCACCACAACTCAGAGAGCTTATACCTGCAGTGGAGACGCACCTTTCCCTCAACTTCGAATAACATCCCATTTGGTGATTCTTTGATCTTGTAAATGTCCGAGAACATTTCATCCCCTGCAATAAAACAGAATTAATAGAAACCACAATAATAGTTCACAGTCACAAGGTTACATTGTTGTCAGGTAGCCTCAGGCCTTCAACAGACTTTCCCCAGGCCAAGGCTTGCTGCCGCCGGCTAACATAGCTGAGCTTGCCCACTAATCCTATTTGTTAGATGGCTGACAGACATGCTACAGCTACTGCTGTGGTACTAGCAAGATCTGCTAGGTTTACAAAGCTAATATAACTGGATTAGAAGCATAACATTAAGATAATAGTATGTGTGCAAATGGTTAGTGGGTGGATAATCAACGAATGTACAGTTCAACTATTGAGTGATTGATAACGTTTGCTGTTAGTTGACAGCACCTTTTGACAGCTGTCAAATCTGTCAGCCCGCGCATGGAACACAAGTAGCTGCAGGTTGGGTAACTAACAAGCTAATATCCACATTTCTCCTGTGCCGTTAGCTGCACCTGTTTTGTTTATAATGGGAAGCGCGCGGCCTAGCTAATAGCCATCACGATAAGTAAACATTCTCCTGTGGTTACATTACCAAACGTTGCCTTTTTCTTTATTAAAAGCCCCAGCGTGTGTAATGGTAAAACAGTTTATAGTAAAAACATACACAGCTGAGGTTACGTGTGGCCCTGTGCAAGGCCTTAGCCTTTGATTTCACAACACTGGGAGCCATTAAAGACCAACCCAGTTGATTCTGAATATAGATAGCATGACAACATCATTTCATGGGCATACGAGATATTTGTCCATACCAGTGATGATGTCCTTGTAGATGATCATTTTGTCGGATTGAAGTTTCGAATTCGACACAAAGACAACGGAGTCCCCTCACCCTCACTGGCTTGATCAGAAAAGAGCGTCATGCGTCCAGCACGGTCTAGTGTACGGTTTGCTGTTGAAGTCATTTATATTTGGCCCAAACATTTCTGAGGCAAGTGTGCCCTCTGGCGGATACAAATACAAAAAAAACATGAAAAGGCATACTATATATAAAGTGGAGCTAGACATACTATTATTGCAAAGTTAGTTCGTTTTGGGTGGAAGGATTGTTGGAGTGACCAGGTTGTGTAGGATACCAATGTGTGTGAGATGTGGTGTTGCTCTGTGTTGTCAGATCAGTATAGAAGTAGAGGACAGAAATATAATGCACTAACACCATAGAGTACCACAGCATGAGTCATAATACCCATAAAACCTAGAAATCAAACAGGGAAATGGTTCCAATCGTTTTTCCACCTTTCATTTTTACCATAGGAGATTTTAGAAACACTTAAAATAAGGGCCGTGTTTGGTGTAGGCTTACAATGGTGTGACTTTTTGATAACCCTCGAGGTCAAGGTGACTTTTATCAATATATTCGCCTGTATTTACCCGCAAGAAAATGAAATGCTAATTAGATGCTAATGTGGCTATCATAAAGAACTACAAATACCATGGTGATCTGGACGAGACTGCCGAAACGAGGCAAAGGTAAGAATCTCTGGATTAACTATCTAATGTTAGCTACATTTAGTAATGAATAAATTGGGTACATTTCTTTAAGTTGACAATTCTATGATCTGTCAATTCTGACGTGCAGAGCTTGCAGGGATTTGTAGTCTTGCATGATGTCTACTTTGATGCTAATTAACATTTTCGAATCTGAGAGTAAATAGAGCCGAATATATTGATCAGTCACCTTGTCCGAGAGAGATTTACATGGTTATCAAAACGACACGAAACACAACCCTTATTTTAACAGTGTCTAAAATTCCCTATGGGAAAAATTAATGGTGGAAAAACTATTGGAACCATTTCACTGTTTGACCACTAGGTATTATGACACCTCCACTGTGGGAGTCTATTGCACACACATAAGTTCCACCATTAGCAGACAGCACACATTTAAAATGATTTGCTTTGACCAGGAAATCAAGGAGGCCAGCACAAATATTTCGCATTTACTGCGGGTTAAAGGTCCAGGGTAGTCAAAAACATGATTTTCCCATGTTTTATATTTATTTTCACACTAAGAGGTTGGAATAATACCAAAGATGTGGTATAACTAACCCAAGATAGACCACAACCTGTCGTTTCCAATGGGAGCAAATTAATCATAGTGGGCAGAACAAGCATGGAGGTGGGCAGGGCCAAGCACAAGCTAGCGAGATCCTATTGGCACGTTCTAGCATGCTTTCTTGGGTACAGGAACAAGGGTGGACATCTTGAAGCAAGTGGTGACAGCAGACTGGAATAGGGAGAGATTGAATATGTCTTAAACACTCCAGCCAGCTGGTCTGCGCATGCTCTGAGGACGAGGCTAGGGATGCCATCTGGGCTGGCAGCCTTGCTAGGGTTAACACACTTAAATGTCTTACTCACGTCGGCCACGGAGAATGAGAGCCCACAGTCCTCGGGAGCGGCCCGAGTCGGTGACACTGTGTTATCCTCAAAGCGGGCGAAGAAGGTGTTTAGCTTGTCCGGGAGCAAGAAGTCGGTGTCTGCAACGTGGCTGGTTTTCCCTTTGTAATCCGTGATTGTCTGGAGTCCCTGCCACATACGTCTCTTGTCTGAGCCATTGAATTGCGACTCCACTTTGTCTCTGTACTGAAGTTTCTGCCTGTTTGATTGCCTTACAAAGGGCATAACTGCACTGTTTGTATTCAACCATATTCCCAGTGATCTTGTCGTGGTTAAATGCAGTGGTTCGGACTTTCAGTTTTGTCCAAATGCTGCCATCTATCCACAGTTTTTGGTTTGGGTAGGTTTTAATAGTCACAATGGGAACAACATCCCATATACACTTCCTGACGAACTCAGTCACCATGTCAGTGTACACATCAATGTTATTCTCAGAGGCAACCCGGAACATATCCCAGTCCGCGTGATCAAAACAATCTTGAAGCATGGATTCCGATTGGTCAGACCAGCGTTGACTAGACCTTAGCATGGGTACTTCCTGTTTGAGTTTCTGCCTATAGGAAGGGAGGAGCAGAATGGAGTCGGGATCTGATTTGCTGAAGGGAATGTGAGGGAGGGCCTTGTAGTCATCACAGAAGGGATAGTAACAATGGTCAAGAGTTTTTGAAGCGCGAGTACTACAGGCAGTGTGTTGATATAACTTCGGTAGCTTTTTCCACAGATTTGCTTTGTTTAAGTCTCCAGCTACAATAAATGCAACCTCAGGATATGCAGTTTCCAGTTTGCACAAAGTCCAGTGTAGTTCCCATCCACTCCGTCAAACCCCCCTACTTTCGTTTTTGCCTTAAGTAACCAGCTGTCTTATGTAATCATACCAAATGTAACATCATTCTAAATGGAGTGTCTCGAATTTACGAACAGAACAATACGAAATGCTCTGAGACCAGGTTGCACTCCCAGACAGTCCTAGACAATTCTTGCTTGAGAAATTGCTCTTTGCTAAGAAGCTATTTTTGTTTATTTTTGACCATTTTAATTGAAAAAAATCACAGTAAGGTACTTACCCAGAAATTATTTGATATTGAGATACAAATGGCTGCATTGGACATTTCAAATGTGTTTCAGTTGCTTGATGCAACAACAGGGCACTCTACTGGAGCAAAAAGCTTACAGCACCTGGTATAACCAGGTCTGACCCTTATACATGAAACCAGGGGCGCAACTTTGGTTTTAGAAGTGGGGGAGATATAAATATTAATTCTTTTTTTGTAATTTTTATCCAGTCAGATAAACACTCCAAACAGCCTACCCGACCGCTCGGAGGCATCCGCATGGTCCTAAAGCACACCGTTGACTCGTTTTGTATCACATTCCAATGATAAAACTGGGGGGGACAAAAATGCATCTTCAGAATGTGGGGGGGACATGTCCCCCCTGTCCCCAGTGAAAGTTGTACATCTGCATGAAACACAGAGAATCTCACTGCCGATTTCACCAATGTTCCCTCTTAACTGAGCGGGGTACATGCAGGAATGCCGGGTAGAAGATTATGCCATGCCGCACAGAGAAGCAAGAGATTGAACTTCACTGAGTTCGCCCCATTAGTTTGCACTATATAGATCAAAAAAAATTATGTGATCGAATCAACATTATATCAGTCCCTTTTCAATGCAACTAAACAAACCTAACTTTGTAAGATTGAGTCAGTGATTTTGTTGTAGGCAGAGACAGAACACAACTGAGTAGAATTCTATTGGCAGGTTAGCCCACCAGCAGTCTTTCAATCACCTGCAAGTGAATGCGCTTTTCAGATCAGTTCAGATCAGAGGTGAGAGCCACGCGTGCGCACATTTGTTGATATTCTTTGCCAGTTAGCAAGTTATTAGCTCAATTATAGATACAGTTGAAATCAGAATTTTACATACACCTTAGCCAAATACATTTAAACTCAGTTTTTCACAATTCCTGACATTTAATCCTAGTAGAAATTCCCTGTCTTAGGTTAGTTAGGATCACCACTTTATTTTAAGAATGTGAATTGTCAGAATAATAGTAGAGAGAATGATTTATTTCAGCTTTTATTTCTTTCATCACATTCCCAGTGGGTCAGAAGTTTACATACCCTCAATTAGTATTTGGTAGCATTGCCTTTAAATTGTTTAACTTGGGTCAAACGTTTTGGGTAGCCTTCCACAAGCTTCCCACAATAAGTTGGTTGAATATTGGCCCATTCCTCCTGACAGAGCTGGTGTAACTGAGTCAGGTTTGTAGGCCTCCTTGCTCGCACACGCATTTTCAGTTCTGCCCACAAATGTCCAATAGAATTGAGGTCAGGGCTTTGTGATGGCCACTCCAATACCTTGACTTTGTTGTCCTTAAGCCATTTTGCCACAACTTTGGAAGTATGCTTGGGGTCATTGTCCATTTGGAAGACCCATTTGCGACCAAGCTTTAACTTCCTGACTGATGTCTTGAGATGTTGCTTCAATATATCAACATCATTTTCCTTCCTCCTGATGCCATCTATTTTGTGAAGTGCACCAGTCCCTCCTGCAGCAAAGCACCCCCACAGCATGATGCTGCCACCCCTGTGCTTCACGGTTGGGATGGTGTTCTTCGGCTTGCAAGCAACCCCCTTTTTCCTCCAAACATAACGATGGTCATTATGGCCAAACTGTTCTATTTTTGTTTCATCAAACCGTAGTCTGGCTTTTTTATGGTGGTTTTGGAGCAGTGGCTTGCTGAGCGGCCTTTCAGATTATGTCGATATAGGACTCGTTTTGCTGTGGATATAGATACTTTTGTACCTGTTTCCTCCAGCATCTTCACAAGGTCCTTTGCTGTTGTTCTGGGATTGATTTGCACTTTTCGCACCAAAGTACGTTCATCTCTAGGAGACAGAACACGTCTCCTTCCTGAGCGGTATGACGGCTGCGTGGTCCCATGGTGTTTATACTTGTGTGCTATTGTTTGTAGAGATGAACGTGGTACCTTCAGGCGTTTGGAAATTGCTCCCAAGGATGAACCAGACTTGTGGAGGTCTACAATGTTTTTTCTGAGGTCTTGGCTGATTTCTTTTGATTTTCCCATGATGTCAAGCAAAGAGGCAGTGAGTTTGAAGGTAGGCCTTGAAATACCTCCAATTGACTCAAATGATGTCAATTAGCCTATCAGAAGCTTCTAATGCCATGACATCATTTTCTGGAATTTTCCAAGCTTTTTAAAGGCACAGTCAACTTAGTGTATGTAAACTTCTGACCCACTGGAATTGTGATACAGTGAATTATAAGTGAAATAATCTGTCTGTAAATAATTGTTGGAAAAATGAATTGTGTCATGCACAAAGTAGATGTCCTAACCGACTTGCCAAAACTATAGTTTGTTAAGAAGACATTTGTGCAGTGGTTGAAAAACAAGTTTTAATGACTCCAACGTACAGTGAGGGAAAAAAGTATTTGATCCCCTGCTGATTTTGTACGTTTGCCCACTGACA